TTCTGTGTGTGGAGGGAAGAAAGGCGCACCTCCTAGAAAAGCCCCGGGCGACATGATGAAATCCACCCACTCCCTCCTCTCCATCTTGGTCAGAGACCAGCAGTGTCTCCCTTGGGTTCACAGCATTATCCTTCCAAGGACTTTAGGTATCCTCCAGAAAACTGGGAGCCCCTTTAAGATGCACAAGATCTTCCCATCTTCCCATCCTTAAAAACCACCTTCACTTCTCGAGTCTTCAGTTTTTTGCTAAAATTACAACAGAATCATTCCCTTTTAGGGACGTATACGTGACTGCTGCTGTGGAGTTGCCGGGGTCTCTGTGATGTGGTTTTTGAACCTCATGGACTCAGGCTGGAAGCAGATCTCCCTGGGATTCCCTGCCTGGGCTCACACATTGCACTAAGCCAGCTTACTTTAACCATGGTTTCCTGAACTAGGTAGACTGGATGAGTTTACATCACCTACCTAGGCCTTAACCATTGTTTACAACCCACAATTTTTACAACATGCTGAATCACAAGCACACTAACCACATTTGAGGCTGCTCCTGAAGAACATTTATACTGTATGCTTTAATTCAGTGTTTCTCAACCTTGGGAAATTTAAGATGTGGGGACTTCAATTCCCAGAATTCCCCAGCCAGCTTTGGAATTGAAGTCCCCACATCTTAAAATTCCCAAGGTTGAGAAACACTGCTTTAACTGTTCAAAATGCAGCAGTGTACGTAGTTTTGGACACTCCAAAGCTTGCCTGTGCAACCCTACAGCTATATGAGCTGCGTGGGCTTCTGGTAAGCCTCCAGGTGCAATTCAAAGTGCTGGTCATCACCTTTAAAGCCCTGCATGGCACAGGGCCAGGATACTTTGGGGCCCATCTACTCTGAGGGCTTCTGGCCATTCTACCAGATCCAGCTGGGTGGGCTTGCACCAGGTCCCCTCTATTAAACAGTGCCACCTTGTGGGACTGAGGTGGTGTGCCCAATGGAACAGCCTCACCACTGAGATTTGGAAGGCCCTGACCCTCTTGGCCTTCCGGAAGGCTGTGAAAGACCTGGTTGTTTCCCTAGGAGTTAGGGCTGGGGTGCCAGGAGGGCCTAAGGCAAGTGTGCCTCTGTTGTGAATCAGTTTTAGTTTTTTTCTGCTCTTTATTGGATTTTTTAAAACTTCGGACATGGGGTTCTTAGATTATAGAGATGGATGGATGGATGGATGGATGGATGGATGGATGGATGGATGGATGGATGGATGGATGGATGGATGGATG